CCCCCGTGGCCCCGCCCCGGCCCCACCCCCGTGGCCCCGCCCCGGCGCCCACCCCGTGGCCCCGCCCCCGGAGCCCGCCCCCGGCGCCCACCCCCGTGGCCCCGCCCCCGACGCCCACCCCCGCGGCCACGCCCCGGCCCCACCTGCACGTGCGGTTGTGCGCGGACGCGAAGGCGGGCGGGGCGCGCGCCGGCGTGAAGTTGACGAAGCCGTGGAGGTCGCGGGCGCGGGTCCGCCGGTGGTAGGCCCGCGGCCGGAAGTCGGACGTGAGGGCCGGCAGGAAGGCCTGGGCGGGCGCGGCTGCTCAGCGGAAGCCCGTCCGCGCGGCCCCGGCGCCCCGCCCGCGCGCTCGCGTGGCTGACGACCGCCAGGTGCGCGACGGCCGCCAGGTGGGGGCCCAGAGGCCGATGTCCTGCGCGCTCGGCCCCCGCCGCCGGGGCTGGCAGACGGACTTGCGCGTGCGGGCGGGCCGCCACCCAGGTGTCGAGCAGCGCGAAGAGCGGCGCGAGCGGGCAGGCGGCCGCGCGGATGCTGACGAGGCCGACCTGCAGCCCCGCGGCGGACGGCGGTCACCGCCGGGCCGCCCCCCGGGGGCTCTGGCCGCCCGCGCAGCTCCTGCACGGGCCCGCGCGACAGACGCGCCTCCTGAGAGCCCTCGGCCAGGATCGAGTCCCGCCTCGGGCTCCCCGCGGTCGGCGAGTGGGGCGGCGCTCCCCGGCGCTCAGACACCCTGCCGGGCCCGTGGCGGCGGGAACCTGCTCCTGGCTTAGGGCTGCCTTCGCCTCGCGCCCCTCTCAGGGGAGCCTTCGGGAACGGCTTTTGTTAGTGTCACGGAAGCCCTGCGCCCAGTGTGGAGGTCGGACTCGCGCCCGAGGCCGGGAGCGGCCGCTTGAGGGGCGTTCCGCAGGGCGTGGCCCGTGCCTGGGGGGCGGGGACGCGGGGCGTGGCCCGTGCCGGGGGGGGGGGGGGACGGCGGGGGCGGCCCGGGGCGGGGGGGGCGGGGACGCGCGAGGGCACCCGCCCCTCGCATGGCCGCCTGGACGAGCGGCATCGCCGCGGGAGCTGCCGCCTCTCCGTCCGTGCACGACGGGCGGCCACAGTTGGGCGGCCGGGCGCCCAGAGCGCTGTGCTGGGTTCAGGCCGGGGGTGCGCGTGATCGCTCCCCTCGGGCGCCTCTGAGCCCGGACTCGCAGGGGACGCCGACCCCGCGTGGGGCGTGAGCCACAGGCCCGGTGCCACGTGAGCAGGGCACAGCGGACCGCGGCCGGGAGCGCGGCGTCCAGAAGGTCCCTGGGGAAGGGCGCCGCCTTCGGCTCAGGTCACGGTCCTGCGGTCCCGGGATCGCGTCCCGCCTCGGGCTCCCCGCGCGGCGGCGCGTCTGCCTCTCCCTCGGACCCTCCCCCCTCTCACGTGCTCGCTCTCTCAAATAAATAAATAAAATCTCTAAAAAAATAAGTAAGTCAGAAGCCCTCTGGGGAAAACCACCCCCCAGGCGTAGCCGCAGCTCGCGCAGCCCTTGGTCCCCACGCGCAGGCCCGTCTCCCGCGCCCGCTGCCGCTCGTCCCACCCCCCACGCGGCCCCGGCGCGTGCTCGCCCGCACCCCGTCCGAGGCCCCCAGGCGCGCAGCACCGGCCCCCACCCCGTGGTCACTAACCTGGCCCCCACGCGTTTCCAGGTACTCTTCGAACAGGCCCTCACAGGGCAGAAGCTCGCAGTCGGCCTCCCGGGGCCCCGCTTCCTCCGAGGGCCCCGCCTTCCTCTTCTTGGAGCGCCGCCGAAACTTCTGCCGGCAGCCCTGTAGCTTCCTGGGGCTGGGAACACCCGGGAAAATGGGCCCTGTTCCTCCAGGCTGGGCCCTGCCTGCTCCACAGTTCGGGGCGGGGGGAGGTGGTCTGGGCCATAGGGAGGGCAGGGGCGACGCCTCTGCGCACAGACTAGCGGAGAGCATCTACATCTCAGGGCCGGGGGCATCCCCTCCCCTGCTCCCCTGCAGCGCCCTCTGGAAAGTCAGCACTGCTCATGGAAGCTTCTGGGGGCAATGGGTTCCTCCTGGGAAGTGCTAAGCAGGTGCCAAGAGCTATGTCAAATGAGGGCAGTTGCTGTGCCAGGGGCGCTGTGTGTCGCTCCACCCTATGCGGCATGGGGGGGCATACTGCTCTGCCACACTGTCACTTGTCCAGGCCCTGTCCCCGCCGGGCACTGAGCTACGCCCTGCCCTTGTAATCTTGAGTTCCGCTTCACTGCGCCAACTGGGCAGAGAAGCAAGGCCGCACCCAGAGCAGGGCGTGCGGTGGTCAAGGTCCCACAGCTGTGTTTCATGGGGCCCCAGGACAGCCAAGTTGGGAGCTGCTAGCAGGGGTAGATCAGGTGTGCAGGGGGGATGGGACGGTGTCCAGGTTGGCTCCAGCCTGGTAGGGGGGCCCAGTTGCCTTAAGGTGGGCCACAGTGGTGCCAGTGGCGGTGGCACTGGGGAGACGGAAGGCACCTGAAGCCTGGGGCCTCCCTTGCTCCTCCCTGGTGCTGCCCTCGAGGCTGGGGATGCTGAAGAATGCCCTGGCCCAGCCCGAGTGGGCTGCAGATGGGATGGGCCAGCATGGGTGGGGGTGGGCCCGGGAAGCCAGGCCTCCTCCCCACACTAGAGCTGGCCCCAGGGCAAAGAGACCTTAGTCAAGCCCAAGCAGCAACCCCATGGGGTGGGGTGTCACAGAGCTCCTGGGGCAGATGGCCGGGGCAGACCCGCCCGCTCCCCTGCAGCTGAGGCCTTGAGGTCCAGGAGGGTCTGGACCCACCTTCCCTCTACCTCTGGGTCCAGGCTGGGGCTGGGCTGGAGGCTGCTGCCCCCCACACTCCTAGGTCCCATGGTCCCTGGTTGCTGCCCGGGCAGGGTGGGGTTGACTCACGGGATGAGGATCTCCTGCACATTGTTGATGATCTGTTTGCCCACCATCATGACCAGAAGCTCCTGTGCCAGCTCAACGAGGCAGCCTCCAGCTGCACACTACAGCAGCAGGGTTTCAGGTCAGCTCGAGGGAAAGACTGGCCGCATACCCAGCCATCCTTCTGTATGCCTCAAAGGTGGCCTGCCATGCTGCCACCTCCCTTTCAGACGTGCCATGGCACATTGAGGACTGCGGAGACTCCTTCCCTCCCTTGACCTCACCCAAGCCCCCACAGACTGTGCAGAGGGATGATGGGGGTACTGCCACATGGCACCCCAGATTTCCTTTGGGGATTTTTGGGGATCCACGCAGGGTTATGTGGGGCTGACCCTCATAACCCTCATGGCTCCAGGGAGGACTCAGGCCCCACTAATTGGCCCGAGTTAAGTGACAGTTGGGCTGGGACTTTTGAGGGGACTCCTGAGACAGCATGCCTTGTACAGGGGGTACCGAGCCAGGGGGTGTTGGGCCAACTGCAGGCATCTTCCCCACCAGGTAAGGAGAACCTGCCTGAGAGCACAGCCTATGCTGGGGAAAGCCATGCAACATCGTTTAAACACCTGGATCCAGCCATACCTGAGCCCACAGGGCCCTGAATGTTTTCAATATCAGAGCCAGTGACATTCCCTTTTTTGTTTAAGCCCGTTTGAGATAGCAGCTTTTTCCACTGGTCAGTGAATGCTGCTTAACTGATACAGTATGTCACGCACAGTCGTGCCCCTGAGTTGGGGTCCCAGCTGCCCTGTCCCTGAGAAGCCCCTCCCATCTCATGTGAAACTGGAGAGTGTCCCTTCGAGGTGGACCCTTTGTAGTCAGCAAGTGGGTTGGGTCACAGGCCAGACCTGTGGGAAGGAAGCAGACCTTCTCCTCAGAAAGGAGAAGAGGTGATGAGCCCAGCAGGGGCTGGTAGCGCCCCACCCATGTCCCCTGACCCAGCGCAGTGGCCTTTAGGGACTGTTCCAGGCACACCTGTCACGCTGCCTGTGGGCTCAGGTGTGCTTGACCTTCCCCCGCTGAGGAACCAGATGCACAAGGACCATTTGGAGGGTTTTTCTACAACGTCCCAGAGGGTCCAGGGCAGAGTCACGCCCAGGGGCTCCCAGCAGTGACCCCCTCGCACTCAAGTACTCACAGGCACACCCCCTTCTGCCTGCTTGCTCCCCGCCCCTTGCATGCTTCCTGGGGTGATGCCCAGAACAATTACTTGCACCCAAGTCTTCATCTTGGGGTTTGCTTGGGGGACCGACATGACAGCGATCCTGAAAGTTGGTTTAACCTCTACTTTGTCAAAAACAGGTTCAGGGCACCTGGGTGGCTCAGTTGGTGGGGCGACTGCCTTCGGCTCGGGTCGTGATCCCAGAGTCCCGGGATCGAGTCCCACATCGGGCTCCCTGCTCAGCGGGGAGTCGGCTTCTCCCTCTGACCCTACCCCCTCTTGTTGGGCTCTCTCTCTCTCTCTCAAATAAATAAATAAAATCTTTAAAAAAAAAAAAAAAAACAGACAGGTTCATGCCTGGCTCTCAGCAGCTTGTGCTCTCGGGGCCGGGGCCAGCCGCGGGAAGAAGCCAGCAAGCCCTGGCCACTGGCACCCAGCCCATGAGGGTCGCCTGCCTCTGCACCCCCACTCCACCCCCACTCCCCCATGGCGGCTCAGGTCCATCACCAGGGCGGGAACCTGGCTCAGGTGTGCATCAGGCCCCGTGAAAATGGGGGCACAGGTAGGACACGTGGGCCTGGGGGTGGGAGTGGTGAGTGGTGCGGGGGTCCTGTGGGGATCTGGTGACTCAGGAGGCACGCCTCGGGGTCTCTACCTCCACTGGTGGGGGCTGGCCTCCCCACACGCTCACCTCTTCGTTGCAGACCCCAAACAAGGTGTGATAGTTGCCCGGGCGTCCCACAAACCTGGAGGAGAATTGGGGTCCTGAGGCCAGGAGTGGGGGGGGGCTGCTGCCCTTCCGCTTACCGAGCCCCTTGGCCGCCCACCCGACTGGAGGAAGCGCGAGCTGGACCCTGAAGCCTGGTTTGCCGGGTGAATCCACCCAGGGCTCCTGTGCCAACCGCCCCCCTTCCCCGGGCGTCTGGATGGCACCCCAGCGCCCACACGGGGTGAACACGGGGAAAGCGTGGCCAGAGGGAGCGGCACTGACCTGCCCTGGAGGAAGGCGACAGAGATGGGTGCGGAGCAGAAGCTGACAAACTGGAAGATGAACACCGTGAGGGTGAAGGCGTCCTCGAACTTGGTCTGGGTGCCGTGCATTTCTGCGGCACGGGGGGCCTCACTCCGTCCCCCTACGTGAGGCCGCCTCAGCTAGCTGGGGAGGGTCTTGGCACAGAAGAGAGGCTGGGGGCGGGGCGGTGGAGGTGCCGGAGCTGGGGACAAACAGGGTGAGCTGGGGGGCATCCACAGGGCCCGCTTTTGCAGGAACACCCCGGGCCACTCCTGCAGGGCCCTGCCCCGGCCGCCCCCGCACCCGGAGCCTCCGCCTGGGACACCCGCTCCCCGGAGGGCCCACCCTGCCCTCGCTTTCTCTGCAGCACTCCGCCCGCCCTCCCTCCCCGGGTGGGCCCTGAGCTCTCTGTCCCTCTCCCAGACCAGGATGGTAGCAGACAGGGGTCTGTGGAGTGGACCGGTGGGTTCATTAGCACTTGTCTTAGGAAATGCAGGGCAGGAAATGGAGGGGAGAGGATGGTACAAAGGGAACGAGAGCAGGAAGAGCAGAGGGATGGTGGGCTGTGGGCAAGTCCCCCACCCCAGAGGGACAGCTCAGCTGGGAGGGTCTCCTGCCGTCCCCCTGCTGAGGCCCAGCTCAGGGCTACGAAAACTGCCCCAGGGGAGGGTCTGACACGCCCCACCTGTGCCTCACTCAGACCTAAGGACCCTGCAGATGGGAGAGAAAGTCGTGCTCTGGCTGCCAGGGCTGGGCCGGTCCCAGGGTCAGTGCCCCACGGCCTGGGCCACTCACCCCATCTTGTCAGGATGTGGGCCAGGGCCACGTAGATTTTGGGAGAGGATGATGATGAAGACCAGGTTCGCCACCGACCCCGTGAAGCTGGCGATGCGCGAGGCCTGATGGGAGTTGGCGGGTCAGAGTGCAGTGGGGGATGGGTGCTCCAGAGCCTTCCACCCACCAGCTGGGCAGGTAGAGGCTCACCCAGGCTGCGAGGAGGGTGTTGTCCGACCTGGACATGAGGATGGCCATGATGGCCCGGTACAGGATGATGGACACAAGGCACATGATGACCACGGCAACCTGTGGGGCAGTCAGATGCTTGAGCCCCCATGCAGAGCCCTGATACCGCCGCACCCTCTGAACCAGGCTGTGTTCTACGCCCCTTCCTGGTGGAGGGCAGACTGGGGGAGGGCAGGGAAGAAGGGCATTCAGAATAGAGGGTGGGCATCATCTGGGTGTCAAGGGGCCACTGTACATTGTTCTTGGCCCAATTGCTGGAGAACCATCCGTCCTACCCGCACCCTGCCCCCTCACCAAGCAAACACTGGGAATTGCTAACATCTTGGAGGGGGAGGGAGGTTGGTCCCATCAGGAAGCCCTTTGGCTGGAAGGTGAGGCAGGGTGTGGTGGAGCCCTGTGCTGGGGGAAGGATGCCCCAAGGCCTGCCTCCATGGGGAAACCTTCCCAGAGCCCCCTGCCTGGCCCACACCCGCCTCTTGCAGCCTGGACCCCCTAGCTTGACCCCAGGCTTGGTCCCCTTTCCGGAGCCCAGGCACCCAGGGGCCTTTCTGGGGGCTGTGAGAGTCTTGTGGGTCACAGAGGAGGCATCAGGCTCCCGGCCTCCAGGGAAGAAGGGGTGACAAAATGTGCCCCACATGGTCCGGAGGATGAAGAGAGCTAAATGTAGGGGCACCGACAGGGAGGGAGGGGAGACCAGGGCTGCAGGGGTCCCTTACCATCATCACGACCACCATGGAGCCCGCCAGCACTCGGCGCAAGCGGCTCCTCTCTGGGAAGTAAGGCTCGTCCTCACCAGTGATGGGGTTCAGGGCTGTCATGGGGGCCGAGGCGGCAAACTGGGGCCGAGGCCTCTCCTGGAAGGGAGCCGGTGTTCAGCCGTGGCCCGCACGTGGGGGAGAGCGACCCCTGCCGGGGGACCCACCTCGATGTCCTCGTAGTTGGAGCAGCTCCACCGGTAGGCCAGTGTGGCGCTCTTGCGCTTCCAGAACTCCAGGAGCAGCAGGGCCCACAGAGCCATGAACAGGCTGAAGACGACGGTGCCTCCGCGGTCGAAGAGCCGGCCAACCTGCGGCGGGGGCGGGGTGGGGTGTCCAGCTTGCTCGGGACTCGGGGCCCCTTCAGTCCCAGGGAGTTTTCCCCTAGGGAATGGCAATGCCTATCCTCGGCCTGTGCGGCACGGTGCTCGGAAGCAGGTGGCTGGTTCCCGGGTGCCCGGGGCCACAGATGGGGGGGATGCTGCCCCCGGGGAGCCCGCATCACCGCGCCTGACTGAGATGATTTAGGGGATGAGATGCGGGACTATCAGAGCTGGTGAGATTTTTGGACTCAGAGTTCATGCAGTAACGGGTTGAGATTTCGGGGGATATTGGGTGGCGACGAATGTATTTGGCATATGGGATGGACATGAGATTTTGGGGGCCAGAGGGTGAATTGTAGTGGATTGAATTGTGGGCCCCAAGGGAGATCTCCACCTGGAATCACAGAATGTAACCTGATTTGGAGTAAAGGCCTTTGCATCTGTAGCTAAGGTAAGGACCTCCCGACGAGAGCAGCCTGGACGGGGGGCCCTAAGCCCGAAGACAGATCCTTAGACAAGCAGGGGAAACAGCTGCACATGGGGAAAGGCCAGGGAAGGTGGGGGCAGAGGTTGAAGGGACACAAGCCAGCCAACACCAAAGACTCCTGGGGCTCCCGCACACTAGGAGAGGGCACGGAGCAGCTTCTCCAGAAGGCCCACCCCGCAGCACCTCGATCCTGGGCTTGCGGCCTGCAGGGCTATGAGAAAACAGGGTGCTGTTGTTTTAAGCCCCTCGGGTATGATCACTGGAGACAGCAGCCCTAGGAAGCCGGGTCAGATGGGGTCCCAAAAGTGTGTCAAAGTGTGTCCGGTCCGTGGATCCATCCTGGGCACCTGGGCTCCAGGCCCAGTGTGTGGGGGATGCGTGCAAAAGGCCATGAGGCCGCGGTTCCTATGGAAGAGCTGACGTGCCCAGGTGGTGTGCGGGGCTCCGGGACTCCAAGGAGCCTCCTGGCTCCTGCTCAGTCTGTGCCCTGAGAGTTTCGGGGCTTGCCTGCCCTGGCAGGCCTTCCCGTTGACCTTGGCTGGTTATACATAACCAGAAGAAGAGAGCTAAATGTAGGGGCAGCGATCCAGGCGGGAACAGTGCCGCAGAGGTTAGATAACTCACGGGGGCAGGAGGGAGTCTGCCTTCGGTGCTGACAGGGCTGGGGTTCTAGATGGGGCAGGACCAGAAGCCAGGGGAGCTGCCTTCCTCACCTCACCTACTCGGCTCCGTACCTGGACCAGGGTGCAGGCGCCGGAGAGCGGCCAGAAGGGGCAGCCCAGGCAGAGCGGGCACATCTCAAAGTTGTCCTCACTATTGCACAACTCCTGCCTTCTGGGCACAAGGGCGCGTTGCAGGAGTCCGGGGGGGGGGCAGGCCCCCACCAGTCCCACCCCTCACCCTCCCCCGGCCCACCACGGCCTTTGACAGGCTCAGCATTTCTTTAAAAAGTAGTTTTAGAATACAAGCAATGATAATTTTTGAGTTAACTTTTTGAAGTTTTAGCTCCATAATGAAGTAAAAATCAAGCCTATTTACTTATAAGAAACGCTTATACTATTATAAGAAGCAAGGATGAGTACCAATAAAATTAGCCCAGGAGCCTACCTGCCCACCTGTGCCAGCTTTGGGAGCCCACCTGCCCACCTGTGTGAGCCTGGGAGCCCACCTGCCCACCTGTCAGCCTTCCAACCAGGTCTACAGGAGGGCAGGGATGTGTTCAGTGCTCACCTCCATCCCCAGCTCTGTACAGGGCCTGGCACCTATGGGTCCCCCAACCACACACCCCCTCAGGAGACACAGGGCAAGTCCTGGGAGCTGAGAGGAGAGGGCACTTACGTGGGTATGTCTGAGAACACCATGAAGCAGCCAACCAGGAACACCAGAGTGCCCACCGCCGCTGCCGGCAGGAGCCAGCCTGTGTAGAACCCTGCAGGGGCAGCACCAAGGTTGGCCATTGGGACCGGGTGGAGGGACCCTGGGAGTCAGCTATCAGTGCCCTGTGGGCCTGTGTAGCCAGCACTGAGCTAAGCACTGGGTGGGGGTCTGCTCAGCCATGCTTGTCCCTCGGGTACCCCCATCCAGCCAGCAGAACCCGAGACCTTCTGGGAGGAAGCCGGCAAGGCACGGTGCTCAGGAATGACCCCTGGCAGCTCTGAGCCCAGCTCCTCCCTCCTGGCCTCTGCCCTGGTCTCTGGACCCCCTACCATTGACCCCCCGGGGCTCCTGGACATCCCTTTCCTAAGTCCCATTCGCCTCTAACCACCACGCCCCGGATGGGCGTCCCGTCTGTGGGAGGCTCACAGCCCTCTGCATTCCAACCTGGGAGACAGACGGGGGTCCATTCTGGATGCTTCCTTTCCCCCCGCACCCACCCCACCATGGCTAGGTCCCTCAGTTACCTCAGTCCCTCCACCGGACACTCCACCGCCTCCCATGGGTCTAGCCCAGCCCCTGGCCTGGTGTCCCGCTTCCAGTCCCACCCTGCATCAGCCAGAGTGACGCCTGGGCCGGAAGCCAGAGGAAGAGCCGGTCCTCCCGCCCTCTGCGGCCTTCCAGCCTGGCTTCGCTGTCCCATGGCCTCTGCTTCTCCTGGCCCCGAGATGGAGCCTCAGGGTCCTCACACACAGGCTGCCCCCGCTCTCTCTGGGTCCACAGTGGCTGTGGGGGCCTCCCCTGTGTCCCCCCATGGCTGGTGCACTCATGAGGGCAGGGTCCCTGCAAATGCGCAGCACCCCAACATGGCTGGCCATCTGAGTATGCCTGAAGGAAGGCTGGCCCAGGCGGGGGGCGAGAAGGCACACGTGCTGTGTCTGGGGATGACAAAAGACTTCAGAAGGGGGGAGGGGATGGTGCTGCCCTGGGGGTGGAGCCTGTGAGGGGAGCTGGGAGAGCCAGGCTGCCCAGGGCAGAAGGTCATTCCGAAGGTCCCAGCCTGCCTGCAGTGGGTGACAGGGCGGCTGACCCTGGGCCCCGGGCAGGGGTGACCTCTGCCGTTCGGGAGTTCCTGCAGGGGCTCAGGGCCTCATGGGCCATGTCTGGTGGGCCAGGGATACTGGGGGCCCTTACCAGCAGAAGGGGGCTCCCGGCCCCTCACTGGGGCGTTAGGAGGGCCCCAGAAGAGCCACAGGCCTATCGCGGGGGCTGGCAGTGGCTGGGCGGGGCTGGGCTGGGAGTTGGGAAGCATTTTTCTCAGGGTGCCAGCATGGCTCCCCTCCGGGGGACACGGATTAGCAGCCTCAAGATGGAGTTGGGGGGTGCGGGCAGTCCAGGGGGCAGGGGGGCAGCACTCACCGAGCCAGGCGAAGTGGAGGGCCACCTTCTCCCCGAAGTACCTGCGCACATGGTCCAGAGGCGGGTACTTGTTCCACTTGCACCAGTGAGCCCAGTACTGGAACAGGGCCTGCCTTTGGGTGAGGCCTGCGGCCTGTGGGCCCTCTGGGGGCGTCCTAAATGGGCCCTGTGGATGAGAAGCCGTCTGGTGGGGAGATCCAGGCTGGCCTGGGCACCGGGTACTGCACTCTCCCCGAGGTGTGGGAGGAAAGGGTGATGTTGGGGGACCAGGGAGCCATGAAGGCCTCTCCGAGGAAGGAGCGCCTGAGTGGAGGCCCTCAGCCAAGGCTCCTGGGGTCCAAGACCAGGGCAGGGAAGGTGGCGGGGGCAGCCCCAGAGCTGTGTGGTCCCTGGCAACCACAGGGCAAGTGGGGCCGGCTGTGCCTCCCAGAGAAGGATGGCACCTTCGGCGGGTGGGGGGGGCCACCAGGCATTCCCACCCATGTCCCCGCAGTCACACAGCGGGGGGTACAGGCCTGCCCCAGCCCTGCAGGCCTCACCACCCCTTTGTGCAGCTCTGAGGACTCATGGCGGGTCCTGTGCGTGAGGGCCCAGCCCCACACGGTGGACATTTTGTCAAGGACACTGGTCAGGCTGACAGGTGCCCCTCCCTGGCACTGTCCTGGTTTACCTGGCTTCATGAGGGGCACAGGGGACCTCACTGTCTTCCCCAAGATGGAAGGTGCCCAGGGAGAGAGCCACCGGGCCTGTCACGTGGCACGAAGGGTGGCACCTGGCCACCCCCAGCTTCAGACAGGCCACTGTGGGGCCCGATCCCATGGCAAGTGTGCTGCTGATCCCGGCATGGCCTCCCGTCTGACCAGGGCTGCCAAGCATGGAGGGCAGGGCCCCGGGGTCCTCCTCGGCCAGGACCTCACCCTCACACCCAGGCCAGAGCCCCCCACCCCAACAACCAACCCCCGGGTCTCACGTCGTGTAGGGGGAAGGCTGCGCTGAAGACGCTCTCTGCCGACAGCTGGTCGATCCCGAACAGGCCCTTCTTCTCGTGGCCATGTGGGGTCTCGGCCAGGGTGGCAAACAGCTGGGGGGTGGGCGTGGCGCCAGTGACCCGTCATGTGGCAGCGCGCAGGACTGTCCTGGCCCACTTGCCTCCCGGCTGAGCCCTCTGCTGACAGCGACCCCACTGTGTGGGCCCCCGGTCTTGCTCAGGTAGCCTCCCCCACACACCACAATCCCACTTTAGAAACATGGAGACCTTGGCCAGATCCACTGGACTCACAGGAGTCGGGTCTTGACCTGAACCCAGGCCCTGGCCTTGCTCAGCCTGCTCCCAGCCCATCCTCTGGGCGGGAGTCAGCCTCCGTCTGGGCACCGGCATCAGGGGTGGGCAGTGCCCCTGCCCCGGGCAGCCCCCAAGGCCCCGTGCCCTTTGGCAGTCAGCAGGAGGCTCTCCTGGGCCGGCCCGTCCTCCCGTCTTCCCCACCACAGGCCACTGGAGCAGGCCACTGGAGCGGCCCATTCAGGGATGCTGTGGCCGTGGGTCCATGCTGGTCCTCGGTCCCCTTCCCCGCCAACCAACAGGACCCATGCCCACCTGGGCCCTGGGTCCTGGAGGGGTGCTGAGCAGGGCCCCTGCTGTGCAGTGAGCTGGGGGTCAGCCTGGAGGCCTCCAGCCCCCAGCCCTGAGAGGCGCCTTGGCGCTCTGATCACAGCAGAGCCTTCCTGTGTCCACAGAGGCCTCCATCCCCAGCTCGGGGACACAGCGGGGACCCCCACTCACAATTTGGTGCCTCTTGGTGCTGGGGAAGAAGGTGTCCTGGTTGTCACTCCCGAGGAACCTGTGGGGTGTGGAGCGCAGAGGTCTGGCACACGCACAGGAGTGCACGTGGGGGGCGCACACTCGTGGCTTCATCCCACACCCTGCGGAACAGCTGCCATCCTGGCAGCACCATCGAATCCTGTCTGTGCCTTTTCCTTTCTGGAGGCAGGAGGTCACGGTAGGTTCTCCAGACAGCACAGAATGCCCCCCCACAGGGTGGGCAGAGAGGGCAATGCGGTGGGGGAGCCTTCCACGTGCCCCCCAAAGCTCTGAGCATGGGATCAGTGGCCTCGCGGGTGGTGTCTGGTGGTGGCCTGCTTGAACAGACGACCGACCCCAGGACTTTGGGAAGTCCCATTGGTAGAGGCAGGTGCACACCAGGCTGGCATTCCCCCAGGCCTGGAAGGAAGTGTTCTCAGCCTGGGCAGTGAGACCGCCTGGGAGTCCTCCATGCTGGTCACCGACGCTGGTCCCCACCACCCCCTGGACACTAGCCTTGTCTGCAGGCTGGTCGCACCTGCGTGGCTAGCTGGGGCTGTACCATGCACATGGACGGGGCCCCCTTCCGCTTCTGCCTCAGAGGCAAGGCGCCTCGGCCCCAACACCCTGCCCACCCGCCGCGGCCCTGTAGCTGAGCAGGAAACAGACCTGAGTGTCCGGCCAGGCTTGGGGGATGTTTGTCCCCCCGCACACCCTGCCTACCCCGACTGACGCAGTCCGTGCTTGCCCACTGAGATGCGTGTCCCCAGTTGGAAGTTCCAGGGAGGGAGAACGCCAGTGGAGGGGCATCATGTTTGAGCTCACTCAGTCCCTGAGCCTCGTGTTCATGCCTTCAGCCAGTTCTTGCACCGGGAGAGGCCCCAGTCTCACCTTGACAGCTTGCTCACTTTGAACTGGCAGGAGTAATACTCAGGGGGCACATCAGGCACGTCCTCCTGCAGGATGTTGGGGATACCCAGCCACGCCAGCAGGCCCGCCGACCAGTTGGAGGCCTGGTTGGGCAGTTCCTGGAAAGGATCGTCACTGGGCTCCCGCTCTTGAGCGGAAGCTGATGCGGATGCCGACACCATGCCGCGGGGTGGGGGTGTGCGGGTGTGCCGAGCGGGCGGCAGGTGAAGGGCTCCAGCAGAGGGAGAACCCCTGCCCTCCCCTGCCGCCCTCTGCCCTGCTGTGGGCCCTGTGGGGAGACGCCAGGCCAGCCCCTGCCCCTCTCTGGGCCTCAGGCTGCAGTACTGCCCTGCTGGTCAGTTTGAGGCCAGAGCCCCTCCAGCAGGAAGAGTTAAGAGGGCAGCCATGTCTCCGTCCACGCCCACACCACGAGGCTCAGAGGGAGCCGGCAGAGTGGGCAGCACAGCGGCCCCCAGGGGGGTCATCCTCAGGTCACCTGGAAGGGCCCCCCCCCCCCCCCGCCCTGTGTCCCCTGGGGGGAGGGGTGGTCTGGGCCTGGAGAAAGCGCACACTCCCTGAGCCCACCCTGGCTGTCCAGCCAGGCTTCTTGGGGCGCAGAGATGGGGGAAGGACCCTCAGGGACACTGAGTGGGGAGCCTCCAGGGTTGTCGGCACTGTGGGGGACCCCTGGGCCCCCCCGGGCACCTGCAGGGGCAGCTTTAGGCGCAGGTCCTCCGCGTAGCAGCGGAGCACGGCCCAGGGGGCGCTGAGGAGGATGTAGTGCACGGCGCCCTCCTCGTCCTGGACGTCGCGCTGTGGGGACGAAAGGCTCCGTGGGAGTCTGAGGGGCATGTGTGGGGGTGTCCGTTCACACTCCTGGGGAAGGCAGATGCCTCTCTAGCCATGGTAACAGCTCCCCAGCACTGGTGGTAACGCTGCTGGATAAGTGGCACCTCTGATCGCTGAGCCGGCAGGGAGCACGGCCGTCGGGAGGTCAGCCCGTCGGTCACAGACAGGGTTGGGATGACTGCTAGGCCTCGGGGACCCACGCCAGCCACGCCCTCTGGGACCAGCGTTGAGGGCACAGGCTGCTTGCTCAGAGACCGCCCGCCCTGCCCCCTCTCCTGACTTAAGGAGGCACTTGAGTCAGCCTTTGGTTTGCAGATGGTGAATGACGGCCTCGGCCTTTGACGAGCCACTGGGCATCCGTGTTATGCATGGACGTGTGGAAGTGTGCACACGTGTGCCAGCGGGCAGGCATGACTCCTCACGTGTGTGTGCATGTGTGCAGATGTGTGGCAGGCACTCCTGGAACCTGAGACAGGGACTTGCAGCCCCTCTGCCCCACGTAGGCCGGGTTCCAAAACCCCCCTCTAACCTGGTGGCTGTCAGGCCTCGCTGCGTCACAGCTGGCTGTCTTCCCTAAATGTGCACGTCCGGGCCCTGCCCGGGGCCCACTGCAGCAGACAGGCCTGGGGCAGGGCGGGCTCGGCGCTTCGGGCACCCCCAGCTGGTTGTGCGGTGTGCTGAGAACTGCCCTCCAGACTGACCCCGGATGTCCCCTGTGCCAGTTCTCCCGTGACCCCCATTAAAGGGCAGCCCGCCCATCTGGATGAAGGTTCTGCAAACTCATGTGGCCACGCAGATGAGCCACACTGTCCCAAAAGCTTTTTGCATAATAAAGGGGGGAGCATCTTTTCATCCCCACCCACCAGACTGTCAATTGGATCCAAACCCAAAGGGGAGGGGTGTTGGTTCTTGACCCCCGATCCCACTGGGTATATGTCTGTCTGCAGCTCCGGCCCCGTGAAGGGGCGTCAGGGGTGGGGAAGGTGAGCACATCTACTCATAAAAGGGGCTCAAGGACGCAGTCGTAAAGAGGGGTGCATTCACACGGGGGGTCCTCTGAGGAAGGACGACGGCCCAGCAGCGGCTGCACCAAGTACAGAGGATCATCTCAGAAGCACGGCCCCGGGGGGAACTGCGCTCAGCACAGTCCCGTTCTATCAAGTTCAAACAAATAAAACGAAGCTGCATTGTTTGCAACATCAAATCGGTGCCAAGATGATAAAGACACGTGAAAATGTGATTAATGTCAAATCCAGGACTGGTTTACTCTGGGCAGGGAGAGGACACCTGGTGGCAGGGCCTGTGCCCGGGGACCGGTGGAGGGCGGTGGGAGGGGTGGGTGAAGGGCACATGGGGCGAGGCCTCAGGGCCACATCCCTCACTGGCCCAGACCCACCATGCAGCCACACACGCCCTGTGGCCGCTGTTGCCGAAGACACAGTCCAGGCAAGGGGCCGCTTTAGCTGCTGAGCTCTCACCACGGGGGTTACACCTGGACACACCTATGCAGACTAATGGGGAGGTGGGTCTGAAGGGCTCTGGCTCCCAGGTGCGAGCTGGGCATGCGAGGGTGGGTGTCGTGCTGGCCTGTGGTCAGTGGTTCTGTGGCCAGAGGGAGCTTGCCGAGGGTGGGGCACCAGCAGGACTTTGGTGCCTGGTTTGTTCCGGGGTCTGGACCCCACGTCCTCAGGCCTTGTCAGGAAGGTCATGGGTCATTGAACAGATGCAGAGCCCACCACTGACCCTAAGTACCTGGTCCACATGCAGCCCAGCTGCACAGAGGTTATCCAGAAAGGTCTCCCTCCAGGCCGCGTGTGTGTCTGTCTTGTCCCTGGTGGCACTGTCCTGCTGCCGACCCAGCCTCAGGTCTTCCTCCCAAACGAGGACAAAGTCCCCTGGGAACCAACAGGGACAGAAGTCAGGCTGGCATCCCAGCCAGGACGCTTAGCTTCCAGGTGGGGAGTAGGAGCCAAGCTCTCGGACCCTTGACCTGCTGCTCTGTGTCTCCCTCCCAGCCCTCGCTCTGGCCCCGGTCAGGCCTGGGAGGCCTCCAGGAGGGCACTGCAGACAGGAGGGGCTGCGGAGGGGCTGGGGCCTGCTCCTGGCTCTGCAGGTTAGTCCCAACCCCCCACGGGGTCTTTAAGGACTCTGAGTGCAAGTCACCATCAGAGTTCCCTCCCTGGGATAGAGAACTGTAAAGGCTGGACAAAATGTGGGAAACCCCTGCTTTTCTGGCAAGAAGGATCAACACACCACAAGTGGTAAATAAATAGGTAAGTATCAAAGTAAAACTATTTCTATTTACAGATGACATGATCTTGTATATAGAAAAATCCAAAGGATTTCGCTACGAAATTATTAGGTCTAATAACAGGTTTTTTCAAAGTTGCAGGAGACAAGATCCACATGTGGAAATCCACTGGGTTTCTATACGCTAGTGATAAACAAGCTTAAAATGAAAGGAGGGAAACCACTTACATTTATAACAGCACCTCAGATAAAATACTTACAAACAAATTTTACAAAAACTGTGCAAGACTTATACTTTGAAAACCACCAAATATTGTTAAAATAAATGGAAGACCTAAAAAAATGCAAAGATACCCCCCATGTGCACGAATCAGAAGATCGATATTATAACAATAGCATTTCTCCTGAAATTAATCCGCAGATTCAACATAATCCTTATCGAAATCCCAGCTGGGTTTTGTTGTTGTTGTTTTTGTTTTTTTAGAAAATGACAAGTCTAAAATTCGTTTGGAAATACAGGAGATCCAGAATGAAAGAAACAATGTTGACAAAGAAGAACAAAAGTGTAGGACTCACTTTTTGACTTCAAAACTTACTATGAAACTAGAATAACCAAGACAGTGTGGTACTGGTAGGACAGACATCCAGATCAATGAAATATATTTGAGATTCTGAAAATAAACCCATATATTTATGATTAATCCATTTTATTTATTTATTTTTTTACAAAGGGGGCACTACAATTCAATAGGAAAAAAATAGTTTTCAGGAAATGGTGCTGGGACAAGTGAATATCCAGATTGAAAAGAATGAATTTGGACCCCTATCTCACACTGTACACAAAAATTAACTCAAAGTGGAGTTACAATCGTAAGATGAAGATCATAGACATGAGTAAAAGAACCAAAATGATAAAGCTCTTAGGAGGAAACAGTTGTATATCTTCATGACCTGGTTTAGGTGATGATGTTAGACAGAGCTTAGCAGGAAGAGAGAAGACTGAGGGACTTCATCTAAATTAAAAAGCTATGTGCTTGGGGCGCCTGGGGGGCTCAGTCATTTAGCGTCTGCCTTCGGCTCAGGTCATGATCTCAGGGTCCTGGGATCGAGCCCCGTGTCAGGCCCCCTGCTCTGCGGGGAGTCTGCTTCTCCCTCTCCCTCTCCCCCTGCTTGTGTTCCCTCTCTCACTGTGTCTCTCTCTGTCAAATAAATAAATAAAATCTTAAAAAAAAAAAAAGCTATGTGTTTCACAGTAGCCAAACTGTGGAAAGAGCCAAGATGTCCATCGACAGATGAATGGATAAAGAAGATGTGGTATATATACACAATGGAATATTATGCAGCCATCAAAAGGAATGAGATCTTGCCATTTGCAACGACGTGGATGGAACTGGAGGGTGTTATGCTGAGTGAAATAAGTCAATCAGAGAAAGACATGTATCACAGGACCTCACTGATATGAGGAATTCTTAATCTCAGGAAACAAACTGAGGGTTGCTGGAGCGGTGGGGGGTGGGAGGGCTGGGGTGGCTGGGTGATAGACATTGGGGAGGGTATGTGCTATGGTGAGCGCTATGAATTGTGCAAGACTGTTGAATCACAGATCTGTACTTCTGAAACAAATAATGCAATATATGTTAAGAAAAAAGAAAAAGAAGAAGATAGCAGGAGGGGAAGAAGGAAGGGGAG